AGGAGATTCCTTTGGATTACTAACGCATCAATCAAGCAGTATATTTTTCGAGATGCAGAGTATTGCGAACTGCATATTGCAAAGTTCTTGCTTGTTTTGTTATATCATATCATACATAAAAATCAAATAGGAAACCAATTAGCAAATGTTTCGGAACTGTGACACCGTTAAATGAAAACTTTAACTGTAAACTTCAACCAATCTAGAAACTAAATTGGTTGCTGTGGACGTTGACTAGCAATGTGCATGCATGTGTGTTCACTCCCGTAATAATTGATAATCATTAATGCAAAAACTAGCCTGCGAGTTCTTAAAAGCACTTTGTACATACATATGTATTTGTGTTTGTGTATGTATGTATGTATGTAACATGACCGCACGCACGCACGTGCATCCTTCGTTATGTAATATAGAAATTGAATATGTGACAATTACCTTTCTATAGCTTCGTGGTCATTCAAATTTGGCATTCCTTGCTTGGCAGATCCAACTTTACGATTGCGCCGACGGCCTATATAATATAATTATACATATGTATATATATAGATAACAAAATGCACATTGCGGTACTCAATTTACTTACGATCGCGAACTTTTTTTTTGTAATCCGGTTCACTGCGGCGTTTGTTGTCAAAATAAATGCAATAACCAATAAACAATGTTCCAGCCAGACCCGCTGCAATTCCAATTGCAGTTTTGTTTATTTCAATCATATTTAGGCAGCAATTTTTTTGTGCTCCATTAACCACACCAAAGCTGCCAAGCAATCGATTACACTGTCGATAGTATCGATAGGCTTAAAATCTGTTATGCTGCAGTTGTTAAAACATCGGTCACGCAAGGTATGAACAATTTAATCGACCGATAGTAAAATTCGAAACCAAATGAAAACAACGGAAACAAAACAAAATTTTTACTGACAGCTCGAATGTGACGAATTTAAGTATACGTTTTCTGATAAATTTTGTATGCGTTGTTTAAAAAAAAAAAACATAATGTATCATATGTCCAACTTGTCATTAGGCTCAAATTAATGTTGTAAAAACAATTTTGAAGTGATTTAATCCCATTTTGGCTTCCGTCGGATATAACCGCCAGTTTTAATTTACCTGGAAGGTTAATTTTCTCGCAAGTGGCGATCAAGAAAATTGAAAAAACATAAGAAAAAAAGAACTCTATTGCATCATCCACCTTAACTGCACCTTAAAGTCTTATAATAGCAGAAAAATAGATATCGGACATAACGCCAAAAATTACAAGGCAACGCTCGCGTCTGCAATTATTATAAATTATATATTTTTTTATGAATTTTGGTAGAATCTCCTCTTTTGCCGATCGTGTTTGTATGTGTACTTGATTCTCCAGAGATATCTAATAGAACCGTCTGGTTCTCAAACGAACTGCTGATTAAATCTCTTCTATCCGAGATAGTGCAGGCCAATCTCAAACTTGCATTGCCTGGGAAAGCCTTCGCGGACCTGCTGTACACAAATAATAAGAACACCCTCACTAGCAAAGTTTCCCAAAGCGTTCCACTGGCTTGTAAATTTAATGGATCATCACAAACATTGCCTGCCGACAACTGACCGGAAAGTACCGGATCTTAGGACCCGGCTGTTAAGCTGCTTCTCGGATTATTCTAGTCAAAAGTTCGACAGATTCGTTTACAGATCCATGTCTAGGTGGAGGGACTTGTCCACCTTTCATTGAAAAGCAGGAACTGGAAAAGGAATGTATGGAGAGCAGCCTATAGTTTGGCAAGACAGCCGTAGGTTGTGCATTAAAGTCCATAGTTAGTGCTAGGGGATCGCCTTGCAGTTCCCAGGAGTCCGAGATTCTGCCATCAGTTAGTCTTTGATACAAAGCAAAGGAAAGACTTCCTCTCGTCGGGGTTCCTCTCGATAGGACTCTTGCTGCGCGGAAAGCCAGACACCGCAAACAATGCGCCTCTGGGGCTGATATTGCGGTAGCTCTACTTTAATCACTTTAAAGTCATTGAGCTAGGTTCTACCATTGGGCTAGATGTATACCAAGCGCAGCTCCAAGATGCCCAAGCCAGTATCCATATTCCCTGTTGAGAGCTGGCAGGAACAGTTGGCAATCGCGACCAACAGGTAGTCCTTTTCATTTTCCTCCAGAAGAGTCGCCTGACGCTGTTATGGTTGGGCTCCCTGTGCCTTTTCTGTCCGCATAGCACTGAGGTTTTGGTGTCGGATGTTGTTGTTGTGATTAACTGGAGGGCACGACTCAGTTTTGTGGGGCATTTGTTGTTTTTTGTTAGATGGAATGCCACCTGTCCTCACATTCGGAGGAATTGTGATTCTGGCCGTATCTCGGACGCATCGTAGCTTCATCCGGAAGAAGCGGACAGTGTGCATAGGGCTTATTCTCGTGTTTTTGGAAGCTGTAGAGCTCAATTTTGAGTTTATAGACAAATAGTTCTTCCCCAAGGATTTAATAGTCGTAAGGATTAATAGGAGTTGCTTAGCCAGCATTTACTTGGCTTGGCGATTGGAATGCAACAGGAACTGGGACGTTGCATGTTTGAGCTCCGCTCTATGTAAAGAACTAAATCAAGATTTCGATTGATAACAGTTTTTAATGTAGAGAATATTGAGAGTATTTCCAACTTTATTATTTTCGGAAGTCGTACAGGTTAATTTCTTCCAGTCTTCAAATTTCCAACTAGCTTTCTCGGCAGAATGAAACTTGTAAATATTTCTTTCAGAACGGGTTGTGACGAAACTGAAACTTGGCTAATTTTTGTCCTTTTAATATTTCCCCATGGTTCTGAAAGAAAACGAAAATTCATTTCCCTTTCTCGGAAAATTCCTTCAGAACGGTAAAAGGATTGCGACAAAACTGAAACTAGGCTAACTTTGGTCCGTTCTTTATATTTCCCCGTAGAAGGAAACTTAAATGAAACTCGAAAATATTCCCTCCAGAACGGTAAAAGGATTGCGACAAAACTGAAACTTGGCTAACTTTCGTCCTTTTAATATTTCTCATGGTTCTGAGAGGAAACAAATATTCATTCCAAAAGTATTTCCCTTTCTCAGAAAATGAAACTCGAAAATATTTTGTTCAGAACGGTAAAAGGATTGCGACAAAACTGAAACTCGGCTAACTTTGGTCCTTTTCATACTTCTCCAAGTTTCTGAAAGGGAACGAAAATTCATTCGAAAAGAATTTCCCTTAAGAAGGTGACAGGAGCTACAACAGTATTTCTCCATGTTTTAGAGAATAATGGGAACTAAGATTCATTTAAAAGGTTTCTCTAAGAATACAAGGGGAACATTTTTTATTTAAATCTTTTTCATTTGTCAAAGTAAAACAATTTATTTAGGTCGCAAATATAAAATTAGCTGGGCAAGCCGGATATTCCGGCTAGTATATAAGTATTATAATTGAATATACTAAATTTATACATCCACATGCACATATATAATATAAATATATAATATATATAATATATATATATAATGCGAATATAATGGTTTTTTGAAATGTGTAAAGAAATGTAAATACTTTCACCATTTATATTGTAAGGACTTGTAGCTGTATTTTATACTGCTGCTAGTTCCCCTTAAAGTATGTTTCAATATTTTTGCTGCTTTAATTATGAGCCCGAACACGAACCTATATAAGACAAATATAAGACCTCTCATGAAACCACTATTCTTGAGTATAAGACCAGTTTTATATAAACTGAAGCTCCGCATACTAGCTTGGTTCGATGTTGCAACATGCAAATGTCATGTTGTAATAAAATGTAAATGCAACCAAAATGTTGAACTACAGAGCGTAAACAGTAAAATAACACACACACACATGTACACATATTTCTAAGGCTACTCTCTTTGGTATGGTCTGTTAATACGAGTTAAGTAGGTAAAAGGGATTGATACTGTTCGTTCATGTTTGACCATCGAGTCAGAAACCCACAGTTACACACTCTGGCGCAGTTCATACGTGCGGTCGTACGTCGCGGACGCTTTGAAAGCAATTCAACGAGCTGTGCGTGCGTACATACATACATAAATATAATAACGCTTTGATTTCAATAATCACTACAGCGATGTGTTTTGCGTGGTTTCTGTGAAAATAATTAATATTTAAAAAGTATGAAAATATTGTTCACAAATACATATGTATGTACATATACACATATAATTGTATTACAAAGTGCATACAAATTGATGCGTGAATGCATGTTAATATGTTTGTATGTTCGTTAACTATAAATTTGTGTTGCACCAATATTTTGATAGAGGCGATTTGGTGATCTAAATAAAATAGTCTATTTTTCATAATTTGTAAGGTGCATTAAAAGTTTTGATTCATTATTCATGCATATGCCATTTGTTTGTTTTAATTTCGTTTGTACGTACATACATACATACTTCATATATATATATATATGAATGATTGTATGCCTCTGCTTGTGTGAGTGTGCAAGCTAGCTCTGTTATGCTAAGCTTAGCCGCCACATGGCATGTTTTTAATTCTTTAATATTTAAAAAATTCGGCAACCTATTAACAAATTAAAAGATTACAGCTTACAATTGAAAATATCAGATTCTTTCGATTGGTAACTCGTAAAATACACATGCAATTTTATAAGCCGTCTTATATGTCTGGCAACGCCAAGATCGTGAAATGTGTGGTAAATAATCGATAACTACCGATCTACCATCGTTAACTTCGTTCGCGATAGAGTGTTAACATTATTCACCGACCAGTCACATGCATACATACAGACACGCATATGTTTGTTTGTAAATATTTCGAACAAGTGAAAAACAAATTATTTTATAATGTAAAGTTAAAGTCATCAATATAAACAGTGAATCCAGTTAAATTTATAAAGTGTGTGCCATATAAGTTGTTCATAATTTAATTTGCAATATGTGCGCAACGAATTAAATTATTTAAATTCTCAGTCTCGAACATAGAATTCGACAACAAAAAAGTTGAGCCAAGCTAACAAATGCAATGCATGGATATACCTCAATGCAGCTTAAAATGTTTTCAAAACAAAATTAATACAAATAAATGAACGGTGCTTACCTAACGAAATATAACAGAAGCAAAGAGAAATCGCCGGCACAAAACTCGTCCAACAGCAACATCTGTCCGTGCACTTGCCCAGCGATTGGGGCACAGCCAAAATCGTTCTTGTAACTTAAAGTGCGTATGTATGTAGCTACATACATATGTATGTATATATAAATACATGACAACATTAACAACAAACTGTCATACCTGTGATCGGACTTTTTTCTACCATTATAAGTTAGTGTGAGTTCGGTCTGTTATTTCTGTGCAAGCATTTTTTTGTGTGAGGAGAGAAACCAATATGTAAAGCCTTGAATAATTTAACATGGTTTTTGTGAAGTGAGAATAATATAGCTTGAGCTACATATCTATATACTTTAGTACCCTGCTGGCAAAAAATGCTCCGAATTCAGCACATCAACATTTGTGGACTTTCAAGTGATGAGGGTTCTACAATTTTTCAATTAAACTCCGAAAAAGTGTTACCAAATGTTAAAAGCAATTAACTTGTTGATTAGGATATTAAAACAAAAATGTATATTCACAACCTGAATATAGATAACTTAACAAAGCTATTCATAGCAAGGCTGCAAACCGATTTCTGAATCAAACCGGGTTGAATCCCAGATTCCAACCTTTTAATTACCAGTAACTGAACCCTAAACCGGATTAGCTGCAACCGAACCTAAACCTGAACCAAATCTTTTATTTTAAAAATATGGTTTGATCAAAAACTTGTTATTTGGATAATTGAAGTATATGATTAATAATAGTTATTCCTTGAACCTGGATAAGAATAATAAAAAAAAGGTTTTTTCGCAAATGCATGTAGCAAGCAGAAGGAAGTTTATACTTTATGGGGATAAAGTATGAATAGCATCAATAGTCGAGTCGATCTGTGACCCCAATCTTGTGATATGTGCATTTCCCTGCGTAGGATGGCGGGATCTGCTTCTAACGTGCGATGAAAAAATTAGAACCCATTTCGCCATATACAAGAGTAATCGATCGAGGATTAGAAAGAGAACATTTACCCACCCTTAGCAAGAACAACCACGCCCACCCATCTCCCCCCAATCCGGCTAACGGACAGCTAAATTATATCAAATATGTAAACTAATATACCAAAGAAAAGAACAAATGTTATAAATATTGTTAGAAACCCGGACATTCCCTATGAAATTAAAGATACACATATGGCGCTTATGACAAGGCGCTTAATAAATAGTCCCATTTAAATAAAAAGCAAATTGTAGTTCTTCATATGAATCTATCGAAATTATCTCTAGCCTCAAGAGCGTCGAAATTAAATGGCGCGAAGAAGTCAGGCTGAGGCTGAGGCTGGGTGAAACATGTCCGTTTCGATTTCCAGCCTAATTCGTCCATTTGTGTGTCGAGTATGAGGCTGAAGTACAAACTGCACGTTTTGTACACAGTTTGCAGATCTATTTTGTATTCCCTTGGCGACTTTTCAGACTTCCTAAAGTATAAAAATCATTCCTGAGCAGCATTAGCAGCCGAGTCTATGTAGCCATGTCAGTCTGTCAGTTTCGACAACTTGTTATTGTCATAGATCGTATATGTAATTACGATAGGAACGAATTTTTTAAAAATTAAATACCTGTAAGAAAACTTTTAAATATAACTTGACCAAACTTGGCACTAAAAAGATTGACCTACATATGGGAAAATGTGAATATCGGCCTTCTACATCAAGTTATATTCTATCTATATTTTGAATGAAATACTTTTCTATTTTTTATCTTAACCAGCAATTACGATCTTTACTGTTTTTCTAACAACTGCAAAGGCGATTCTAGTCTATCATATAAAAACATTATATAGGGCATTGAATCTTTGTAAACATTCTTGATTGTTTTAAATTTAAACAATTTGATAATACAAATATTTCTTTTGGCTTATAAAGTTTGGTCAAGTTACTAGAAAAACAAAAACTTGTTTAAAAATTTTTGGCATAATTATTCAATTGGGATTCGATATAGTAATCCGATGCAGTTGTCTCGATACAAAGTTTTACTGTCATTGTAAACAAAATAATAATATTTACCCTGTGCATTTTGCAAGATATAAATATTTGACAATGTGCAAAATAATTTGCGATACATTTAAGCCTATTTATACCTTTATATCCGCAAAGAACAGCAGGTAAAGTTGTTAACATTGACAGCCATTTACTTTATCACAACTTGAAATTCTTCATAGAATTTGATTTAAATTTATAAAAGTTCAGTTTACCTTAATCAACATGTAGTCTTTATAAAATCGAATTCATTTGAACTATTTTAATTATTAGATTCAGAAGAATTATGCTAAATGTTGTCTAAGAAAAACATTTAATTTATTTCCCCGAAGCTATCGGAACTGGGGGTAAAGGGGATACTTTTTGTATGCAAATGTATGTAACAGACAGAAGGGGCATCTCGAGTTTCATAAAATGTATATATTCTTATATATACATATATCAACAACCGAAGCGATTTAGCTATGGTCCGTATATATGAATACGTTGATCTCGGGAAAACTACGAGTTGTAGAGTTAAAGTTTTGAACGTTAATCCACCAATAGATAGATAATCGCAGATTAGATAATCCGCCCCAATTCAATGAAACAGATATGGAAAGCCTTTTTTTGGCTTATGAGAGCTAGGAGCTCTTTGGTAGAAAGGCTCTCGCTATCCCTACGCGCCCCTTAAAAATGTGGACAGCGCATTTGGTTCTTGGACTTTTTCTATTGGATTAATAGATGCCTCAATTATGCCCTGAAAATGGCATAAATATCGGAACATAAACAGGAATAAATAGCAGATCCGTTTTGTTTTGTATTTTGGTATATATAGAACAAACGGATAAAATGACTTTAGCTCGGCTGTAGGTGTAAGGTATCTGTTAGTCGGGAACACCCGGCTAGGGTAGTCTGGCTTGTAATATTTTTAGACATTTTTTGGGGCAACTGATTTTTGTTTAAAGTTTGGTTCATAGTAAAAAGTTAATTGAAATACCGGGTTTCCACTGGCAGCAATGATTAATTTACCAAAAACATTTAACAACTAACTTTTTAACAACTACTTAGTTAACTAGTTTTAAAGCAAAGTTTTAAAGGTGTACGTTGTTTTGATTATTCTTTATTTTTAGGACTGAATACCATGTGGACAAAACTAGCTAATGTCTAATATGCATTTAAACAATTATGCCCAAACGGTTAAGAGAAAAAAAGCCTTTTTACTTCAGTGGACATCACTAATAAGTTTTATCTGCTTAATTCAACCTGCATTTTCAACGGACGACGGCGATGGAAGTCCACTCCTTAATCAGAAGTCGCAATTCGATAAAAAGCCCGACTTTCGCCATCAAGTCTATAATGTTACGATACCGGAGAACAGTCTGGGCAAAACATACGCCAAAGGTGTATTACATGAGGACTTGGCCGGAATTACGCTTGACGCAAAATACGACATTAAATATAGAATAATAAGCGGCGATAAGGATAAGCTCTTTAAAGCCGAAGAAAGACTTGTCGGCAACTTTGCCTTCTTAAGTATTCGAACCAGAACTAGCAACATCGTCTTGAACAGGGAAAAAACCGAGGAATATAATCTGAAAGTTCGCGCTCATATAAGCTATACGCGCGGTAAAAACATCTCGAGTTACGAAACCGAAACGGCGATTCATGTACAGGTCTTAGATCGAAATGACCTAAGTCCATTATTTTATCCAACTGAATATGCGGTTACCGTTCCTGAGGACACTCCAAAACACCACAGTATTTTAAAAGTTATTGCGGATGATGCCGACTTAGGGATCAATGGCGAAATCTATTATAGTTTCTTAATGGACAGCGAAAGCTTCGCCATTCACCCAACCACTGGAGACATAACCATCCTGAGGCAGCTTAACTATGCAGACAATTCACATTACGAGCTCACGGTTCTGGCCAATGACAGAGGCTCCGCCATTAACCAGCAGCACCATCAGGCCAGCAAAGCGAGAGTTTCTATAACTGTGAAACAGGTAATTACAATAAATGAGTTTTTACAAGTAATGAAGTAATATTAAGTACAAAATATTCTTGTTTCGCTTAGGTATTACAACTTTACTTAAAGTAGCTTTTTAATATGGGCTTTCGTCCATCATACTGAGACAACCAGAATATAAATAAATACAAATAACGACTTAAAGAGAGCACGTATTAAACACAAAAGAGATTTCCAGATATTTGAATATTTCCCAAATTAAATTATAGAAATCATTTCAAAATTCAAGCAAACACTTTATATATATGTCGGTGCTAGCAGGGATTACCAGGAGAACTCGGCTTAGTTTTTAACTATATTAACACTAGCAGGCATTACCCGGCTTTGCCCTGCTAAGCCTTTCACTATATTTATACTAGCAGGTATTACTAAGAGTTGGCCGCCTTGGTCTTTTACTATATCTAGTTAGATTACATTATAATTTAATTCAATTTGATACAGCGATTAACATTTTATAACTTCGGGATTGCTAAGGCTCAAAATGGGTTCGTTGGAAGAAACTGTGTCAACAAACACCACGACGTCAATTTCAAAAAGTGGTTGGGTCAGCAGGAAAAAAATTATAAATGCTTGCGAAAAAGATGTTTTATGAATCAAGATGAATAAATATTTGAATGAATAATACTAGTTTCCAACTCCAAGTTTTACGCGCTCTTTTTTTATTTGAGTATTTGTGGGTAATAGCAAAAGAAAAAACAGAGTAAGATTGCTTTCTTTGTTAGTGCGCGGCTACAAAATACCCTGTATCCAGTTCCTAGCAGCCGTTACTTACATTCTTACTTATATAGACACATGCTTCAAGCTTGTGCTATGCCCCAATAATAACGTTTTGTAAATCTATGTTATAAGTAGAAGGGACCGAAACGTTTTATAGATCAAAGTAAAGAGCAAATAATAAAGAGCTATATGCTTTATATTTTGAATGTGGATTAAGCATATTGCTTTTCCAATAGTTCTACAAAAGTCCAATATCATAGGGTATTGCCAAGTCCCCCACAATGCTAAAAATAGAGAAGCAATTACTTCTAGTTTTTAACTGTTTAATTTAATTATATTAATTCTTTTATTTCACTTTTTTTTGCACCGTAAGGTTAACCTAAACGCACCCGAAATATATGCAAAAACATTCTCGAGTGTGATACCAAATTCAGGTTCTCTGATTTACGGAATAGTACGAGTAAATGATAAGGATGCTGGTAAAAATGGAGAGATACAGAAATTGGAAATATTGGACGGAAATCCAGATGGTACATTTCAGTTATTGCCCGCAGAGACGAGAGACGAGTATTATATTGAACTGAATAAATTCGCAAAGTTAGCTGAACAACACTTTGCCTACAACTTAACACTGCGAGCCGAAGATTTTGGCACACCCTCCAGATTTACATTTAAAACAGTTACGATTCAAATACTGCCGGAAATCAAAAATGTACCGATATTTACACAGGAAATTTACGAAGTCTCGATACCGGAAACAGCGCCGATCAACATGCCAGTTATAAGACTTAAAGTAAGCGATCCCGATTTGGGAAAATTTGCTTTGGTTTATTTGGAAGTAGTTGGTGGCAACGAGGGCGGCGAGTTCCGTATAAATCCGGATTCTGGCATGTTATATACACAAAAGCAGCTTGATGCCGAAACGAAATCCAGCTACACATTAACTGTATCTGCGATTGATCAAGCCGATGTTGGATCCCGGAAGCAATCATCTGCCAAAGTGAAAATTACCATCGAGGATATGAATGATAATGATCCGATATTTGAAAATATGAACAAAGTCATATATATAAATGAAAATGAATTGGCCGGCTCATTCGTGACAAAACTGACAGCGAGGGATAGGGATTCTGGTGAAAATGCATACATATCCTATAGTATAGCAAATCTAAATGAAGTTCCATTCGAGATAGACCACTTTTCCGGAGTTATAAAAACAACTAACTTGATTGATTATGAAACAATGCGTAGAAACTATACACTTCTGATACGCGCTTCCGATTGGGGATTGCCCTATAGAAGGCAAACTGAAATTGCACTGGAGATTATTGTAAAGAACGTGAATGACAATAGGCCGCAATTTGAGCGAGTTAACTGCTATGGAAAAGTAATCAAATCTGCTCCAATTGGCTCTGAGGTGTTCACCATTTCGGCAATTGATCTTGATGTGGGAGATGTGATATCATATCGGTCAATATCGGGCAATGAAGATGGCTGCTTTAATTTGGATTCAAATTCGGGAACTTTTTCCATTGGCTGCAACCTTATGGATGTTGCTGTCAACGATCGAGTCTTAAGAGTATCGGCCACAGATGGGACTCACTTTTCAGATGAGCTGAGTATCAATGTACATCTCGATATGGATTACTCAAGGGAACAGATGAATTTATTGCACGGGTACGGGACATTCGAGTGTCGGGAAACTGGCGTAGCCAGAAGACTGGCGGAAACATTGGCGTTAGCCGAAAAAAACAACGTAAGAAATGTTTCGTTTCTTGAAGTAAACGACTTGGCACTGACGCCCAGCAGATATGGCCAAAATATCCATAAACCTGAAATAATAAACTTTCCCCAAGAGCTTACCCTAAATGAAAGTGTTCAATTGGGAACAACGGTAGCTGTGATCGAAGCCAGGGACCGAGATTTGGGATATAATGGAAAACTTGTATTCGCGATTGCAGACGGCGACTACGATTCGGTATTTCGCATTGATCCCGACAGCGGCGAGCTACAGATTATTGGCTACTTGGATAGAGAACGCTTAAGCGAGTATATTTTAAATATAACCGTCTATGACCTGGGTCACCCGACCAAATCGGACTCGAAAATACTACCCATAACAATAACCGATGCAAACGATAATCCCCCCGTACTACAAAAATCGTTAGCTACCCTTCGCCTAACAGAAAATGCCCCAAAAGGAAGTGTCGTCTATTGTGTGCATGCAACCGACGCAGATCTGGGAATAAACGCAGAAATAACATATACCCTAGCTGTCGAATTAAAAGAATTTACTATTAATAAAACAACTGGCTGTATTGTTTTGAGTGAGCAATTAGATCGAGAGCAGACAGATAAATATGAATTACACATAGTTGTTAAAGATTCTGGGGATCCTGTATTATCAGCGGAAGCAGTTGTATATATTTTAGTTGACGACGTTAACGACAATGCCCCAATATTCGGGGTGCAAGAGTATATGTTCAAAATTCGCGAGGATGTGCCTCGAGGTACTGTTGTGGCTGTTATCGAAGCAATTGACAAAGATGTGGGCGAAAATGCCGAAATACTCTTCTCACTCAAGGAGGATACACAGGATAAGAATCTGTTCAAAATTGATAAGCACTCTGGTGCCATACGCACCGAAGGCTATTTAAATTATGAGAACCGTCAAGTACACAACCTTGTTATTAGCGCTATAGACTGTGGAGTCCCTTCATTAACAGCCGACATGCCCATAGTGATAGAAATTATTGATGTCAATGAAAATCGGTTCGCTCCAGAGTTCGAAGACTTTGCTTATGAGGGAAAAATAAGAGAGAACATGCCGAAAGGCACTTTGGTCATGAACATTACCGCTAGGGATATGGACGGAATGGATATAAATGCCAAGATATCTTATTCAATTACTGGTGGAGATGGACTAGGAATTTTTTCTGTTAATGATCAAGGTAAGAAGCAAGAAATTGAAGCAAATGGTTTTAAAATAGATTCTTTTCCTTAGGTTCTATTCACTCTTTAACCCAACTTGATGCCGAAACGAAGAACTTTTACTGGTTAACTTTATGCGCTCAGGATAATGCGATAGTGCCACTTAGTAATTGTGTCAAGGTGAGCATTTTTTAATACTAAATTCTGGATAAATAATAAAAGGGTTTTGCTTCTCTTAGGTTTACATCGAAGTTGAAAATGAAAATGATAACATTCCATTAACGACCAAACCAGTCTATTATGTAAATGTAACTGAGGGCACCTCCGGAAAAACTGATATCATTCAACTCAAAGCAATAGATCCGGATATTGATCCTTTACAAACAATTACCTACAGTATTACTTCTGGAAATCATGTAGGATACTTTGATATAGAGCCGCATACAGGTGAGTACAGCAAGGAATTTAAAATAAATATCATTTTAAATGTACAAATTATATTTTTTATTTAGGATTGCTTAAAACGACGGAACGAAAGCTAGACAGAGAGAATCAATCAGAACATATTTTGGAGGTGAGTTATAAAATAATAATAAAGTAAATCAGATCTAACAGCTATATAGATAGAGGAATTTATTATTATGGCGTACGACGGGAAGTCGCTCAGTGCAAAAACGAATACAATACAATAAACAGCTTGGAATAGAAGGTTTAATATGAGAAAGAGGATGCTATTTATTTATGGTTGCCTCTACTAAGAGGAGTCAATTCCACGTGCTTACATTTATAAAGAAATATTACCCCAAGCATTATTTTATGATTGTTTAAAGAGAGGAAATTAATGATTGGGAGGAGATTAATCATTGACGGAAGCTGGACACTGGGATATTACTTGGAATTTAAAACAGTTGGGACTTAGAAGGTTCACTTTGCAAGAGGACTGAGAGGCATCTATTTGGGCTTGTATATATATATATATATATTATGCTACACGACGTAATCCCTTGACATGCATACTCAGCATTTTATCATATATTTTATAACTATTTTAATTTTTTTAATTAAATCCAGATCTTTGTTAAAACGTAAATTTCATGTCTTTCAGGTATCTATATCTGACAACGGATCTCCCATATTAACGTCTACTACGCGTGTTGTGGTGTCCGTTTTAGACATAAACGACAATAGCCCAGTATTTGATCAACGTGTTTACAAAGTTCAAGTTCCTTCAACGACAAATATGAACGAATCTATATTTCAGGTGCGTAAAGGGTGCTTAAGTTAATCCCTATATATAAAAGTCAAAATTCATGTGAAAATTGTACCTTCAAATATCCTATATAGACATAGGTCATAATATCCCACCCCCATAACTCTGTCAAATCTCATCCGATTTTCACCAGGTTTGTCTTTTTGTTAATGGTTTGGCCTCTTTATCAAATTGGCATCTAACTCTGGCAACATTATTTTTGGTCAAAATTCATGTGAAAATGGTGCCCCTAAATATCCTATATAAACATAGGTCATAATTTCCCACCCCGATAACTCGGTCAAATCTCATCCGATTTCACCAGGTTTGTCTTTTTGTTAATGGTTTGGCCTCTTTATCAATTTGGCATCTAAATCTGACAACATCATTCTGGGTCAAAATTCATGTGAAAATGATGCCCTTAAATATCCTATATAGACATAGGTCATAATTTCCCACCCCCATAACTTGGTCAAATCTCATCCGATTTTCACGAGGTTTGGCTTCTTGTTAATGGTTTGGCCTCTTTATCAATTTGGCATCTAAATCTGGCAACATTATTTTTGGTCAAAATTCATGTGAAAATGATGCCCTTAAATATCCTATATAGACATAGGTCATAATTTCCCACCCCATAACTCGGTCAAATCTCATCCGATTTCACCAGGTTTGTCTTTTTGTTAATGGTTTGGCCTCTTTATCAATTTGGCATCTAAATCTGCAACATCATTCTGGGTCAAAACCGGTTTGTCTTGTTATGGTTTGGTCTTTATCATGGCACAAATCTGCCCCTGGTCATCGTGAAAATGATGCCCTTAAATATCCTATATAGACATAGGTCATAATTTCCCACCCCCATAACTCGGTCAAATCTCATCCGATTTTCACCAGGTTTGTCTTTTTGTTAATGGTTTGGCCTCTTTATCAATTTGGCATCTAAATCTGACAACATCATTCTGGGTCAAAATTCATGTGAAAATGATGCCCTTAAATATCCTATATAGACATAGGTCATAATTTCCCACCCCCATAACTCGGTCAAATCTCATCCGATTTTCACCAGGTTTGTCTTTTTGTTAATGGTTTGGCCTCTTTATCAATTTGGCATCTAAATCTGACAACATCATTCTTGGTCAAAATTCATGTGAAAATGATGCCCTTAAATATCCTATATAGACATAGGTCATAATTTCCCACCCCCATAACTCGGTCAAATCTCATCCGATTTTCACCAGGTTTGTCTTTTTGTTAATGGTTTGGCGACATAGGTCATAATTTCCCACCCCCATAACTCGGTCAAATCTCATCCGATTTTCACGAGGTTTGGCTTTTTGTTAATGGTTTGGCCTCTTTATCAATTTGGCATCTAAATCTGACAACATCATTCTTGGTCAAAATTCATGTGAAAATGATGCCCTTAAATATCCTATATAGACATAGGTCATAATTTCCCACCCCCATAACTCGGTCAAATCTCATCCGATTTTCACGAGGTTTGGCTTTTTGTTAATGGTTTGGCCTCTTTATCAATTTGGCATCTAAATCTGGCAACATTATTTTTGGTCAAAATTCATGTGAAAATGGTACCCCTAAATATCCTATATAGACATAGGTCATAATTTCCCACCCCCATAACTCGGTCAAATCTCATCCGATTTTCACGAGGTTTGGCTTTTTGTTAATGGTTTGGCCTCTTTATCAATTTGGCATCTAAATCTGACAACACATTCTGGGTCAAAATTCATGTGAAAATGATGCTACCCTGGCTAACACCTATCGGCAAATCTCATCACGATTTTCACAGGTTTGCTTTTTGTTAATGGTTTGGCCTCTTATCAATTTGGCATCTAAATCTGACAACATCATTCTGGGTCAAAATTCATGTGAAAATGATGCCCTTAAATATCCTATATAGACATAGGTCATAATTTCCCACCCCCATAACTTGGTCAAATCTCATCCGATTTTCACCAGGTTTGTCTTTTTGTTAATGGTTTGGCCTCTTTATCAATTTGGCATCTAAATCTGGCAACATCATTCTGGGTCAAAATTCATGTGAAAATGGTACCCCTAAATATCCTATATAGACATAGGTCATAATTTCCCACCCCCATAACTCGGTCAAATCTCATCCGATTTTCACGAGGTTTGGCTTTTGGTTAATGGTTTGGCCTCTTTATCAATTTGGCATCTAAATCTGACAACATCATTCTTGGTCAAAATTCATGTGAAAATGATGCCCTTAAATATCCTATATAGACATAGGTCATAATTTCCCACCCCCATAACTCGGTCAAATCTCATCCGATTTTCACCAGGTTTGTCTTTTTGTTAATGGTTTGGCCTCTTTATCAATTTGGCATCTAAATCTGACAACATCATTCTGGGTCAAAATTCATGTGAAAATGATGCCCTTAAATATCCTATATAGACATAGGTCATAATTTCCCACCCCCATAACTCGGTCAAATCTCATCCGATTTTCACCAGGTTTGTCTTTTTGTTAATGGTTTGGCCTCTTTATCAATTTGGCATCTAAATCTGACAACATCATTCTGGGTCAAAATTCATGTGAAAATGATGCCCTTAAATATCCTATATAGACATAGGTCATAATTTCCCACCCCCATAACTCGGTCAAATCTCATCCGATTTTCACCAGGTTTGTCTTTTTGTTAATGGTTTGGCCTCTTTATCAATTTGGCATCTAAATCTGGCAACATCATTCTTGGTCAAAATTCATGTGAAAATGATGCCCTTAAATATCCTATATAGACATAGGTCATAATTTCCCACCCCCATAACTCGGTCAAATCTCATCCGATTTTCACCACCCCATAACTCGGTCAAATCTCATCCGATTTTCACCAGGTTTGCTTTTTGTTAATGGTTTGGCCTCTTTATCAATTTGGCATCTAAATCTGGCAACATCATTCTGGGTCAAAATTCATGTGAAAATGATGCCCTTAAATATCCTATATAGACATAGGTCATAATTTCCCACCCCCATAACTCGGTCAAATCTCATCCGATTTTCACGAGGTTTGGCTTTTTGTTAATGGTTTGGCCTCTTTATCAATTTGGCATCTAAATCTGACAACATCATTCTTGGTCAAAATTCATGTGAAAATGATGCCCTTAAATATCCTATATAGACATAGGTCATAATTTCCCACCCCCATAACTCGGTCAAATCTCATCCGATTTTCACCAGGTTTGTCTTTTTGTTAATGGTTTGGCCTCTTTATCAATTTGGCATCTAAATCTGACAACATCATTCTGGGTCAAAATTCATGTGAAAATGATGCCCTTAAATATCCTATATAGACATAGGTCATAATTTCCCACCCCCATAACCTTCATCCGATTTTCACAGGTTTGCTTTTGGTTAATGGTTTGGCCTCTTTATCAATTTGGCATCTAAATCTGACAACATCATTCTGGGTCAAAATTCATGTGAAAATGATGCCCTTAAATATCCTATATAGACATAGGTCATAATTTCCCACCCCCATAACTCGGTCAAATCTCATCCGATTTTCACCAGGTTTGTCTTTTGGTTAATGGTTTGGCCTCTTTATCAATTTGGCATCTAAATCTGACAACATCATTCTGGGTCAAAATTCATGTGAAAATGATGCCCTTAAATATCCTATATAGACATAGGTCATAATTTCCCACCCCCATAACTCGGTCAAATCTCATCCGATTTTCACCAGGTTTGTCTTTTTGTTAATGGTTTGGCCTCTTTATCAATTTGGCATCTAAATCTGACAACATCATTCTGGGTCAAAATTCATGTGAAAATGATGCCCTTAAATATCCTATATAGACATAGGTCATAATTTCCCACCCCCATAACTGGTCAAATCTCATCCGATTTTCACCAGGTTCCTAACTCGGTCAAATCTCATCCGATTTTCACCAGGTTTGTCTTTTTGTTAATGGTTTGGCCTCTTTATCAATTTGGCATCTAAATCTGGCAACATCATTCTTGGTCAAAATTCATGTGAAAATGGTACCCCTAAATATCCTATATAGACATAGGTCATAATTTCCCACCCCCATAACTCGGTCAAATCTCATCCGATTTTCACGAGGTTTGGCTTTTGGTTAATGGTTTGGCCTCTTTATCAATTTGGCATCTAAATCTGACAACATCATTCTGGGTCAAAATTCATGTGAAAATGATGCCCTTAAATATCCTATATAGACATAGGTCATAATTTCCCACCCCCATAACTCGGTCAAATCTCATCCGATTTTCACCAGGTTTGTCTTTTTGTTAATGGTTTGGCCTCTTTATCAATTTGGCATCTAAATCTGACAACATCATTCTGGGTCAAAATTCATGTGAAAATGATGCCCTTAAATATCCTATATAGACATAGGTCATAATTTCCCACCCCCATAACTCGGTCAAATCTCATCCGATTTTCACCAGGTTTGTCTTTTTGTTAATGGTTTGGCCTCTTTATCAATTTGGCATCTAAATCTGGAAACATTATTTTTGGTCAAAATTCATGTGAAAATGGTGACCTCTAGATATCCTATATAGACATAGGTCATAATTTCCCACCCCCATAACTCGGTCAAATCTCATCCGATTTTCACGAGGTTTGGCTTTTTGTGCATGGTTTGGCATTTAGATCAATATGGCATCTAAATCTGACAACACTATTCTGGGTCAAAATTCATGTGAAAATGGTACCCCTAAATATCCTATATAGACATAGGTCATAATTTCCCACCCCCATAACTCGGTCAAATCTCATCCGATTTTTACGAGGTTTGGCTTTTTGTGCATGGTTTGGCATTTAGATCAATATGGCATCTAAATCTGACAACACTATTCTGGGTCAAAATTCATGTGAAAATGGTACCCCTAAATATCCTATATAGACATAGGTCATAATTTCCCACCCCCATAACTCGGTCAAATCTCATCCGATTTTAACGAGGCTTGGCTTTTGGTTAATGGTTTGGCCTCTTCATCAATTTGACATCTAAATCTGACAACATTATTTTTGGTCAAAATTCATGTTAAACTTTCATAACTTGGCAATTCGATTTCAGATATATTTACAAAACCAATCTGATTTATATTTTTCAGGTTCACGCAATTGACAACGACGACGGTGAAAATAGTCGCATAACATATTCGATAAAATCGGGAAAGAAAAAAAATAAGTTCCGTATCGATAGCTTTAGTGGACACATTTTTTTTACAAAGACATTAGAACCTGACTCTGAATTTGAAATTAATGTTAAAGCTGAAGACAATGGAATCCCCAAGAAAAGCCAAACCACGCTAGTTAATATAGGTGTTATTCGTGTAGCTTCCAATTCTCCGAACCCTCCTGCAATAGCGAAGAAGTCCATAAATAACATTGTAGATCTGACGGAAAATGATAAACCTGGTTTCCTGGTGACTCAGATTCTAGCATTTGATGAAGATAACGACCAGCTATGGTATAATATTAGTGGTGAGTGATATAAGAATAAGTGAATTTTCCAGCTTATTTCATTCTTTTATATTTTAGGAGGAAACGAAGGGAATCATTTTTACATTGGAAGAGATACTGGAAATGTGCTGCTATCAAAGTTTTTGGATTATGAGACACAAACATCCTACAATCTGTCTATTAGTGTAACTGATGGCTCAAACACAGCACACACTTGGCTATTTATACAAGTTGTCGATACGAACGACAATGCTCCGCAATTTACTAAAGAGATATATCACGTTAATATATCTGAGAACATTGAAGAGGAATCCGTGATTATGCAACTCCATGCAACTGATAGAGACGAAGATAAAAAGTTATTTTACCAACTACATGCTACCCAAGACCCATCATCGTTAACTTTATTTCGCATAGATTCCATTAGCGGCAATGTAATAGTCACCCAGAAACTTGATTTTGAGAAGACTTCACAACATATTCTAATTGCGTTCGTTAAAGATCAAGGAACGCCGGGAAAGAGGGATTATGCAAAGATCATAGTAAATGTTCATGATCACAACGATCATTATCCCGAGTTCACAACAAAAATTATTCAAAGTAAAGTTCCCGAAAGTGCTACGATAGGCTCCAAACTGGTTCAAGTTACGGCCATTGATCGAGATAGTGGCAAAAATGCTGAACTACGTTACTCCATCATTACCGGCAACGTGGGAAGCATGTTTGAAATTGATTCGACATTTGGAATTATATATTTAGCCGCTTCCCTGGACATCAACAAAATGCAGGAATATATGTTACAAATAAAAGCTATAGATCTTGGGCAGCCTCCGTTGTCATCTCAAGTGCCAGTTCATATAATAATTACCATGTCTGATAACGATCCTCCTAAGTTTTTCGCCGACGTTATTTCATTGGAAATGTTTGAAAATTTGAGTATTGGATCATTTGTAACTCAAGTAGAAGCACGATCTTCGTCATCAATTTTCTTCGATATTATTGATGGTAACATTAACGAAAGCTTTCGGATTAACCCGTCTACAGGTGTAATTGCTATCAACGCCAATGTGGACTATGAACTAAACAAGTAAACACTAAAACAATGTTTGCAAATAATAATTGTTATAATATAAATACTTTGACTTTCAGAATTTTCAACCTAACCATCAAAGGAACTAACATGGCTTCTCAGTCTTCCCACCAAAATTTAATAATTCATGTTTTAGACGCTAACGATAATGTTCCAAAATTTCTGCAAAGCGAATATATAGGACGTGTTTCAGAGGCCGCCGGCTTGGGCTCATATGTACAAATAATTGACGATAAGAAAAAAAGGTAAGGAAGCGCATTTTAAATGGCATATAGCCTAAAAGTGCACACAAATTTATGAGTGGACACAATTTACTCTACGGTCACAGTCCTTCTAAGAACGTTTTCAATCTATGTACTTATTTAAAGCAATATTTTTCTTTCAGTCATTTAACACTGAATGTATTTGACGCGGACGTCGGATTAAACGGAATGTTGCAATTCAATATCCTTGATGACTTAGCGAAAAATATGTTTAAAATCGATTCAACTACAGGAGCTATTGAAATTTTACGCAGTCTAGACTATGAAAAGAAGACCAATTATTCATTTTTTGTATCGGTAAGCTTCCTTACATGAACTAGTTTGTAAATTTTAATTAAATTATGCATTTTAATTAATTTATCTTACAATTTTACATTTCGTAGGTTAATGACATGGGTAAACCCAACTTATACTCAAATACAAAAGCTCACGTAATAATTCTCGTGAGTAATGTAAATGATTGTCCACCTGTATTTAAAGATAGAGATCTCAATGTTACTTTGTTTCTGCCAACGTTTGAAAATGTATTTGTGGCCCGTATTGCTGCATTTGATGCCGATAACGATGTCATTCGTTACGACATTGTTGATGGAAACAACCAAGAATGCTTCCAAATACATCCAATCACAGGATTATTAACGACAAGGTAACTATATGCATTTTATTTCAAATGGTTTATTTTCCCATAATTACAGACTCTTGATAATCACATTATAACCCTCAATGATATGAATAAAATTTAATCATAATTTTTATATTTTTTGTTTTAGAAATTACGAATTTATAAGCAATGAATACATTTTGCACGTTCGCGCATCTGATGGATTGTACTCTACCATTCTCCTCGTAAATATCAACGTTGAACAAATAGTTAATTCAAATTTCGTATTTCAAAAGAAAATATACGAGTTTTCGGCTCTTGAAAATACCACCAAAGTTGCGACAATAGGATTGTTAAATGTCATTGGAAACACATTGAATGAAAATGTTGAATACCGAATTCTGAATCCAACAGACATGTTTGCAATTGGAATAACTTCCGGAGCTATTAAAACTACTGGAGTAATGTTTGACCGCGAAGTACAAGATATGTATAAGATCTTTGTTGAAGCGAAATCATCTATATTTAATAGGGACAATACCAGCATTCGCAGAGCAATCACATCAGTTTATATATCTGTGCAAGACATAAATGATAACTGTCCCATGTTTGTCAACATGCCATATTACGCTTCTGTATCGGTTGGCTTTACGAAGGGAACAGTTATAATGAAGGTGAAAGCCATAGATCTAGACAGTGCCGAGAATGGAGAGGTTCGATATGAGCTCAAAAAAGGAAACGGTGAACTTTTCAAAATAGATAGAAAAACTGGCGAGTTGTCAATTAAGCAAAGTATCGAAGGACATAATCGAAAATACGATTTAACCGTTGCTGCATGCGATGGAGCTGTAATTTCCTGCTGTACAGAAGTTCCAGTTCAAATAAAGGTACGCAAACTATAAAAACCTGTACAATTATAACATAATAAAGCTTTATTTTTTTATTACATAGGTGATAGATCGGTCCATGCCCATATTCGAAAAGCAATTTTATTCTGTTAGCGTAAAAGAAGACGTTGAAATGTATACGGCTCTGTTTGTATCCATCCAAGCTGAGAGCCCATTGAAAAGGAAACTGATCTACACAATATCCACTGATAACGCTGAACAATTTTTTGAAATTGACTATAGAACAGGTAAAGAATTCCTCTTAGTTTTATCATTACTCGTAAATTATACACAGATTAAGTATTTTTCATATTTTTGGATCCCGCAAAATCAAAAATTGGAACATTTGCACTCATACATGAATTCTTATTGAATTTTTCAGGGTCTTTGTATGTGGTCAACGAGCTGGACTACGAGGAAAAGAATATACACGAAATATCAATCCGAGCTACTGATAGTATTTCTGGTATCTATGCCGATGTGTTATTATCCATAACAGTAATTGATGTCAATGATTGTTATCCGGAAATCGAAAATGATAACTATAACATAACCTTGCCGGAAAATATTCCATTCGGATCACAGATATTAAAAATAAACGCAACTGATAGGGACTCTGGTGCAAATGGAAAATTATCATATTTCATAGAATCCATCGATGGTCGCAATGATTCCGATACATTTTACATCGATGTTAGTGAAGGGTACTTGTACCTAAAAACTTCATTGGATTATGAGTTAAAAACCCACCATCACGTTGTTGTGCATGTTAAAGATCATGGTTCTCCGCAGTTGTCTTCGAAATGCAATGTTTTTATTGCAGGTAAGTCACATAAAACTTTCAGTTCTCAAATGCAATTTACTGATACAATAGTTTTAATGCCTCTTTCATATTTTACAATTTAATATTTAAATTGCAGTTAAAGATCTGAATGATAACTCACCGAAGTTTATTGAGCCATCTTTCAATACAAAGTTGTCAGTAGCAGCAACCCGTGGTCAATTTGTGGCTTTGCCTAGAGCGTTTGATGATGATATATCCGACATTAATTTTCTGCAATACAAAATTGTAGATGGCAACGATTTACAAACGTACAGCATTAATAAGCAAAGTGGAATTATTTCTCTTCAAAATATGTTAAATTTCACCGACAAGCCCAACACAATTTTAAATATTTCAATTTCCGATGGAATTCATACAAGCTTTGCACGGTTAAAAATTACGTTAGTTCCGGAAAATGTTCATAGTCCACAGTTTGAAGAAATTGTGTATAAAGCATCGATATTGGAAAATATGCCGCATGGACATGAAATAATCACGGTACGTATATATTTACACTTGAATAAAATGCAGTTTCATTTTTGCTAAATATGCACTTTGTATTCCAGGTCAAAGCAATTGATAATGATTTTGGACAATACGCCAGTGTTTACTACGAAATTGCGTCTGAAGAGATGAAAAAGTATTTTGAAATAAATCGTAATACTGGTTTAATTACATCAAAAGTTGCATTTGATCGAGAAATCAAAGATGAATACGTCCTGCAGTTAAAGGCAATTGATGGCGGAAGTAAATTTGGCTTTGCAACTCTGAGAGTGTCAATCGAAGACGTTAACGACAATAGCCCGCATTTCTTTTTAAAAGAATATAAAATTGTTATAAGCTCCTCAATTAAGCCCAATGATACCATATTGACAGTAAGTATATGTATATTCAACTCGAGTCAAGTTTGGATTCGAAATGTGTAGAACAGGGTATCTTTCAAACGGACACTCGACTAAACAACAGTTCCTTGTTGACGCATTAAGTAATTACCTTTGCCTAATCTTGTTTTTCTAATTTATAGGTAAAAGCCATAGATAAAGATATTCATGGAAATGGCGCTGTCAAATATACTATCGTTCCTGACTCAATGAAAAGCATTTTAGAGCACAAAATCTATTTAAATGAAAGTAATGGAAATATGATTTTTATCGGCGATTCACAGAAATTTGAAAAGGGCGTATTCCAATTTTTTGTTCGAGCTTCTGACTCTGGAGAACCGTCATTGCATACCGAAATTCCGGTTTCTCTTGAAATAGTTGACTCTGAAGTGATAATTCCAGTTTTTGAAAAAAGTCACATCGTTCTTAAAGTAATAGAATCTACATCACCAGGAACTGTGCTAACAAAACTCAATGTGCATGGAAATTATTCATTAAAGTTCTCGACATCAGAAGAAAACTCTATTTTTGCAATATCTGAGAATGGAGAATTGATTCTTATGCAAACATTGGACCGTGAACAAAATGAATTGCATTATTTAGTTGCCGTAGCCGAAACAATGACCTTGCCAGTTCTTTATGCATATGCAGACGTTTATATACATGTTACTGATGAGAACGACAACTATCCCAAATTTGATAACACAATTTATAATACTGATGTAGCGGAAAATACAGATAAAGTAGCGTCCATATTAAAAATAACCGCAACTGATGAAGATACCGGATCAAATGGTGATGTACGATACTACTTTGACGATGAATCAAACGGTATACGAAACATTTTTGACATCGATATTTATACTGGATGGATCACTCTTTTGTCCTCCTTGGATAGAGAAGTACAATCAGAGTTTAACCTGAAAGTAATCGCCACAGACAACGGCCATCCGAAACACGATTCAAAAGTTCCAGTCTCTATCAAGATAATTGATTACAATGACAATGGACCGCAATTTAAATTACCCAATGACCAGATTTCTATTTCTGAAAACGCCCTTCCAGGAACTGTTCTAAAAAATTTATTGCTTATAGACCCGGATAGTGAGAAGCAAACTATGGAATATTATATAATTTCTGGAGATAGTCAATCGCAATTTCAAATTGGCAAAACAGGAGAGTTGTTTATATCCAGACCTCTCGACAGAGAGCAAATTTCATTTTACAACTTAAGCATCTTAGCAACAGATGGAAAGTTTACCGCCATGTCGAATGTTCAAGTGCAAATAAAGGATGTCAACGATAATATGCCATACTGCCTAAAACCTCGTTATCACATTACGTTAAATGAATCAATCGCGATTGGATCAACAATAGTTGAAGTAAAAGCCGTGGATTTTGACTTGAGTAATGATTTTAAGTTACGATATTACATATCTGGAAAGGGTTCAACTGACTTTGTTATTGGCAAAGAGAGTGGAGTTTTAAAAGTAGCGAAGCTTCTGGACCGAGAACGAACTTCAAAGTATAAAATGTTGGCACATGTTCAGGATGGCAAAGAATTCATAAGAGAGTGTGTTTCTGAGATAATAATTACAGTCAATGATATAAACGACAATGCACCCATATTTTCTATGCCCAATTATAGAGTAAGCATACAAGAGGACGCTCAGCTACAAACGCTGGTTACGAAAGTTCATGCTACTGACAAAGATTTTGGCATAAATCGAAAAATCAAGTACTCATTAATTGGCACAAATAGTGATTATTTTGAAATATCAAAATCAACCGGAATAATAAAATTGGAAAAAAATCTTGACCGTGAAACCATTTCAATATATAATTTAACACTTATAGCTGAAGATTATGGCAAACCAATAATGTCATCAGTGGCTAATATCGTTATAAACATTTTGGACATAAACGACAATCCTCCGGAATTCAGCTTACGGCAGTACAGTAGTCACGTGCATGAAAATGTCACACAAGGATTTGAAGTTTGTACGGTTCATGCTACATCAAAAGATATTGGCGTGAATGCTGAAATATCGTACTACATAATAAGTGGCAATGAACAGCGTAAATTCAACATCAATTCCAGTACAGGCGTATTATGGGTTAACGGAACACTGGACTATGAGAAAACTAAATTTTATTTCCTCACCGTTCAAGCTATTGATGGAGGCAGTCCGCCACTTAGTAACATTGCATATGTAAATATATCTATAGATGATGTTAATGACAACACGCCAACGTTTACGCAAAATATTTACCGAGCTAGTGTGAAAGAAGATGTTAATGTAAATCTGCCGATAATAGATGTAAAGGCCACTGATGAGGACTCCAACTTAAATGGCATCATAAAATACAACATTGTGAAAGGTGATAGCTTAAGTCAATTTAGCATAAATATCAGCAACGGAACAATAAGCCTGGCAAGGCCTCTTGATCGTGAAACCATTTCAGACTATGCACTGGAAGTGCAAGCCTGCGATTTGGGGATCCCGGAGCGGTGTAACAGTGTACAAGTTAATGTCGTTGTTCTGGACGCAAATGATAACGCACCAGTTTTTTCGCAAGCAAACTACAGTGTAGTCCTACAAGAAAATAGGCCTCTGGGCTATGTTTTTATTACATTCGATGTTACCGATGCTGACGAAGCACCCAACTCTATACCTTATACATATGATATACGCTCTGGAAATGAGGGAGGACTTTTTCGGCTGGAGCAGGATGGCTCGCTTAGCACAGCATCACGGTTCAATCACAAATTACGAGATAAATTTACAATACAAATACGTGTTTTTGATAATGGCACGCCTCCACTCTACTCGGATACGTGGGTGACGATAAAAATAATTGAGGAAAGTCAATATCCTCCAATTTTAACACCTTTAGAGATAACTGTCAATTCCTTTGAAGATGAATTTTCTGCTGCATTTTTAGGAAAAGTTTATGCCACTGACCAAGATCAATATGATGAACTAACATTTGCCGTAGCTTCAACTATTGAAGAAACATATCAAACTTCAAAACTATTTAGAATTACCAATAAATCTGGTGAAATTTATTCCACTTCCAACCTGGATATTGGTCTATATAAACTAAATGTGTCCGTCACTGATGGAAAGTTTACCGTATTCACCACTGTGAAAATTAACGTCGAACTCATAACGATGGATATGGTCAAAGAAGCAATAGTAATCAGATTTAGTAAAATTGCGGCGTCAGATTTCTTACTAAGTCACAGGAAAGGGTTCATTCGTTCCATACGAAACGTGATGAGATGCCGTCAAAAAGACGTGATTTTAATATCTTTGCAAGAGCAAGTTCGCAATCCTTTGGCAAATCGAGACCAATATTCCACGGACTTAAACGTCGTCTTTGCAGTTCACAAGCAACAGATAATTCCCAGTTCAGACGCCTTTATTAGCAGTGATGAGATTCGCTTAGCTGTTATCAGTAAAGAAATTGAAATTGAAAACGAATCCAATCTTATAATTGAAGAAATTCTACCAAGTTTTTGCCAAACCAAAGAAAACATTTGTGTGAACGGAGTCTGCAAACAATTGATAAATATGGAAAAAAACAATATCACAACAATTTACACCGATGTTATAAGCTTCGCTGCGCCCTCTTATGGTTTAATTAACAAATGCGTGTGCAAGCCCGGCTTTGATGGCAAAAACTGCAATGAAACAGTTAATGCATGCTCTTCAGATCCGTGTCCACCTCAGAGGAATTGCTTGCCATCAGAATCTGCAACGCGATATCAATGTGTCTGCCCAAAGGGATACTCAGGTTCATTTTGCGAAATCAAATCTTCAAAGTGTGACAATGGCACCTGTGATGCTTTCTCTTCAACAGCAGTTTCATTTGGCGGCAAAAGTTATGCTCATTACAAAATTAATAAATCAAAGGCCAAAAACATTTTAGAAAATCAGTTTGCCTACTCTCTTCAAATCAGGACAGTACAACAAAGCGGTACACTTTTATATGCAAGCGGAAAAGTGGATTACAATGTTTTAGAACTTGTAAACGGAGCTGTAAAATACAAATTCGACTTAGGATCAGGCGAAGGCGTTGTAAGCGTATCTAGCATTTATATTTCCGATGGCGCGTGGCATACCATCACTTTGGAACGAACTCTTAATAGTGCCAAGCTAACTGTAGATAATAAACATGTTTCCCAGGGCAGCGCTCCTGGAGTTAATGGCATATTGAATATTCAGTCAAATGATATCTTCGTGGGAGCTGAGGTTCGACCGCATCCCTCAATCATTGGCTATGAAGATATTCAACGTGGCTTTATTGGTTGTATGGCAAACATTAAAATTGCCATGGAGCCATTACCTTTATACATTTCCGGAGGCAGCACAATTGCAGCTCTTAAGAGATTTACAAATGTGGAGTTCAAGTGTGATCCTGCCAATGTTCTGGTCAGTTTGGGAGTTTGTGGTACTCAACCATGTTTGAATAGCGGCATTTGTAGGGATCTTGGAAATGATAATTTTAAATGTATTTGCCATGCGCGATTTTCTGGTGAATTATGCGAAATTGATTTAGATCCGTGCTCGTCAGCGCCGTGTTTATTTGGAGGTCGCTGTGAAAATCAACTGCCAAGTAATTATACATGCATTTGTCCGATACACTTGTCCGGAAAGAGATGTGAATATGGAAAATTTTGCACACCAAACCCTTGCAAAAATGGAGGAATATGCGAAGAAGGCGACGGTGTGTCCCATTGCATGTGCCGAGGATTTACTGGACCGAACTGTGAAATTGACGTAAACGAATGCGAAAATCAACCATGCGGAAATGGAGCAACTTGTATCAATGAAGCTGGTAGTTTTCGATGCATATGTCCTTCGTTTCTTACTGGTGCAAGTTGCGGAGATCCTCTTTATTCGAATTCTATTTCGACCAAATTGAAAAACTTTTCAATTGAGCATATAAGTGGAATAATATCGGGAATCACCACAGTTCTCATCATCATCATAATATTGTTGGTCTGTTTTGCTTTTAAAAGAAACACGTCTACAGGCGCCAGAAATCGAAACGAAAAAATTAAAAATAAGCACTCTCTTAAGCAAGCGAACCTTAACTCACTTCTCGACAAAGATAATCTTTGCAAATCGAACGCTAAAATAAGCAATTTAGAAATCAGCCAACGACCAATAAGCTATTCGCCTCCAATAAACGATAGCCTATTTATTAGTAATACAACGTTTGTAAATAATTTAGATATATTACGAAGTTACGGCTCCGCTGGTGATGAGCTTGAAAATATACCATTCGAATATCAAAAAGTAAATCGAACTAATCAACATGTTAATATTAATCCGAGCAATTTAATCGACGCAGACGGCGGACATAAGCAAGAGTGGTGCGAACAAATACACTTAAAAACATTTAACGAGAATAAGCTGAATAACGGTTAGTAGATACAAATACAAATATTCATAAATGAAACAAACCAATTTTTTACCAATGAAAATATATCGTTACAGAACGCAGAGTTGACTATGGCTTTCCAATTAACCGACTTTCAAGTGGAAAACTAATTCAGGTAGCAATGCCTAACGTCTGTCATTCCACATCGAACGCAAACTTTGTTGATTCTGCTGGTAATGGGCAATATCACTGGGACTGTTCGGATTGGGTACGGAAAAGCCATAATCCATTACCGGATATAACAGAAGTTCCTGGTGCCGAAGTCGCGGACTCATCGAGCTTCCATAGTAATGACAGTAATGAGTCTAAATCAAAACGAAAATATTTAGTTCATGGTAAGTTGACAAGCTAATAGTATATCACAAATATATATTTATTCATTCAACATTTCCTTTATATTGCAGTAGAAGATATCGATCCAACTAGAGATATAGTTGCTCTAAATGAAGACATGGTATTTGAATATGGGGATTCGGAGATAGACAGCTGTATTCAACCATTTATGTTGCCGAATTTAAGCAATGAATCCCGTTCAAGGCTAAGTTCATTTAATAAAAGCGAGAATGAAGACTACAAACTAAATACAGGTATGATTACCTTTAAACCCTTTTAATAACTGTTTTATAATTAACAAAACCTAAATATTTTCATGCATTCAGTGCCTTTCCAATCAAAATCAAATCGATTGCGTAAGTTTGTCAGCGTTGAAATGTCATGCTTTGAATTATGGTTTTCATCTTTCTTTATTAATGAAATTATCAATTTTCTGAGATATTATAAAATGGAATGCTTATGCCTCCGATAATCAACATTACCACCCTACTCGCACATAACGTTAACACAAAGACAGAGTGTATCCTACGAAAATGTAGACAACATCTTTCACCTTATTCAAAATTCCGTCTCTAGCTTTTGTAGTTTTCGAGATTGACAAGTTCATATAGACAGACAACCGATCGGTTCAGCGATATATGAAGATATGGACCGATGAACGTGGCTGCATTTACTTATTTATCGAGTATATATAGTTTTTGGTGACACAATTGTCTGTGCAAGGGTATACAAAAATAGGAAAGATATTTCATTATACAATCAACAGTCTTTTTAATCTACCACTGTACCATTAAATATTATTTTGAATTAACAAAATTTCCATTTGATTGGTCGAAAATGTTTTTGATTAAAGAAAAAAAAAGGTCGTCAATAAAAAAATTATGGGGTCTAGGCAAGGGTGACCTACTAATCGTATGATATTTGGCAAGTACAGAAGCTTTTTAATACCCAGAAAATCCTGAACGAAGAGATAATATACACATGCGTTATTTAGAATGGGTGGAAAAAATAAAATAAAGACAATATGTATAGTAAACGACAAATTGAGTACAGGCTATCTATCTCTTGTTTTAAGCTGTAGTAAAATTGTGAAACGAGTGATATGCCTGTCGGTTGCACCCGACTTGTTTTTATCCAATTTATAAAATATATTAATAAGCAATTTGAACTATTTAATTGTAATTTGAAAAAACTATAATCAACAGGCAAAGTATATTTACGACATCCTGATTCATATTTACCGACGATACATACGCCAAGTGACACGGAGGCGGAAAGCTCTAATAACGAAACACCTATGCTTAAGAAAGAGTTATCAAGTAGAAGAGCAATTAGCGGTAATTGTATAAATAATTTGCATGAAAATGCAAATATTCAATATATTTAATTAAGTGTGCTTGTTTACTCGACTCGATTTCAGGATTTTTAAAATAGAAAATGTATCTCATTTAACTACATTTCAAGAGCGCATCGGTAGTCGTCTTTTGAGCATACTACAAAATAAAATCAACCTCGTCTATTATGTGTTGCATTTCGTTTGTAAAATTAAAAACATAAATTATCTTCGATTACTCAAAGCGTCAACAGCCGAGTCTATATAGCTATGTCCGTCCGTCTGTTTTTATGCAAACCCTTTTCTCTATCTAAAAGCTATCGCCTTAAAACTTTGTATAGACCCGACTTATTGTTACAAGCAATACATAAGTATATCGGAACCGGCTGGATCGGACCACTATATCATATACTAGCAAACATAGGAACGATCGCTCAAAAATTAAGTTTTTGTCTGAAAAAATTCTGCAAAATCTTAACATCGGATAAGTATATCATAAAGATCCTTATTATAAAGCAGACGTATCAAAAATGTTTAAAATAACAGTTTAAGCAATGTTTAAAAGTGTTTTCTGTTAGTTATGCTGAAATTATATGCATGCCAAAAAGACGACTGCCGATGTGAAGTTTTAACTCGAGCCGACTTAACACGTATACTTTAAAGAAAAAATTGCCTAACCAAAGCGTTTTGTTTTTATTATAGGAAATTCTGAGGAAATATATCTGTTTCCATATGCGGCCGGTAAAACTGGTTCAGACAGCAATATCTCTGTTCGACTTTGTGAAATTGAAGATTCGGAATTAGAAGACTTTCTTCCGATGCAAGGAAAATATAGTAGTGAATGACATATTAATTGTATAAAATCATAGATTTTAACTTTGGCCATGACTCTGTTTCTTTTTCTACTGATTTTATATGAAATAAAACTATACAAGTATAATTATATTTTTAATAAGAATATGAATATAGTCTTTTTATTATAGGCTTTTTTGAACTCTTTAAAGGTAAGAACATATTTTTTAACCAGCCAATTTCTAACGGCCGAAACATTGGTATAGATAGGAGGAAAACAAGGACTGATTAGTAGAAAAGGATTCTTCAATTGGGGTTTGCATTGACCACCAATCACATATATTGAGGTACCGTTTCGACGAGAGGCGGAGTGGCTGCATTAGCGTCTGCATCTCCACGATGTAGTCTTTAAATATTACGCGAGCCGTCTGCCGTCTCAGAAACTAGCGAAATGCTTCCCAAAAATTCAATACGATGCCTTTTCATAACTGGGGCTAACAAACTCATGTTATTAAATTGAGATCCAGACCCTACATTTCTAGTCGCTGGTGCTCTTCTTTTTTTTTCCGCTGGCTCGATCTCTTTGGGCCTACAGTTGTCGGTCCTTTGCCAATTCCGCAACATGGGATCCGGCCATCGTTTTGGGACACCGTTACGCCTAATTATGGCCGTATCGCGCCCAATGACCCTGCCAGTGGGAGTGCAAATTATGCGCCATAATACAGTAGTAGTGCTTGTGATAACAATGAATCAGTCGTATTGAACTTGGAGGGAATATTCTGCGATTTTTCGTAATTTAAATATTACAATCGTTCTGCCTGCTAATAAAGTATTTCTGACAGCCGGAGGACTTGCCTTTTAGCAGTACGATTTCGATGTTCATTTACCGGCCCCTCGGATTCCAGGAGTTCTCTCCCGAATCTTGTACGCAACGACTTGTTTTCACCACACATTAGGTTCTTGCCAGGATAAGCCACAGAGCTCTCCTACTGCTGGGTTCTCCCAAGATACACACGTATTTAGTCTTACCGAACTGATACGTCTAGGAACACACACTTGTAATTGCACGGAATACACCAACAGTGTTATTGTTAGACACTATATCGTGCCCTCCAGTGTCCTCGCGGGTTTGCGTATAGGGTTATTCAGGGATACAGCTGTAGATCCTGGTATCCTCCGATGCTTTGACTATGTCCTGATAGGCGTCCTGGATGTCCTATGTGGATACCGACCGTGTTCCTGAATGTCCTTCCAAGGTTCACTTACACCTGCCCATTTTATAGCCCGCTCGGGATCTGCCTGTGCCGAGCATTCTTGCCGATCGAAGACACTGCCTATCGGTACCGATCGGGCTGGACAGCGGCATCATCGTCTGACTTCTGGTACTTTTCCGTTGTCCAAATGACCGTTGTTGCTAATGCTAACCGGACTATGCGCTCGTTGCCCTACCACTTGCAGCGGAACACGAACCAAATTGCTGAATACGCGAGTCAGCTGTAGTTTAATGGCAACAGTGAAAACTTTTTTCAATAATGTCTGTCTGTCTGTCTTTTTCAAAGCGAACTAGTCTGTCAGTGTTAAAGCTATCCTCTTGAAACTTTGCATAGGGACGACTTTCTGTTGTGAGCATTACATATGTCGGAACAGGCCGAATCGGACCACTGAATTATATAGATGCCATATTAAGATCAGATAACTATATTAAGTAGCTGCCATAAAAACGATCGGAGAAAAATTAAGTTATTTTGATTATAACATATCTTGACAATCCCAATTCTTAAATACTTGCAAAAACGTTTTAATATCGGACCACTATATCATATAGATGCATCGGACAACTAAATCTCGCTATTTATATGTTTCACTATGCTCCTCGCATAAATGTAAAATATAGGAACATAGGAAAAATCGGTCGGAAATGAGGTTATTGTATGAATAACTTTTTGGTTTATCAAGATTGATCAACTTGATCAACCCTTACTTTTACTATCAAAACTATGCTGCACTTATATGTACCAAGTCTGGTCGAAATCGCGTTACTAAGTATATTGTATAGGACTATAGAAAGAATCGGTCGAACATGTGTTTACGTGGCAAAGTTTTCAGATTGAACAATATATTAAATGCTCGGAAAATGTCGTTGCAGTAGTCGATAAGCTATTATCATATCGTAGTATTTTATTTATTTAAACGAATGAAATGCAATTTTTCCTTTTAAAAATAATATAAAAACTATGAGAACAGTGGCACTGAGTGTTATCATAAATAAAACGGATATATTTATATTAAAGTCGATTTGGTCGGCAGAACGCATATCATTATCTAGAGTTATTTTGGCAAGCTCAGTATTTATGTTAATAATAATATTATTTTTTTGATTTTCTGAAATAAATAAAAAGTATATTTCAACATATTATAGAATTTGAAATGTTATAAAATGTTACCTTCAGTAGAGTCAAGATTTAATTCTATCCTTTTGCTAATATTTAATGTTGTTCCAACTATCCATTCTAGTTTTTCGCACCGTGAATTTGGGTTTTTTATATTTCTTATCACTTTTGAAAACTTTTTTAAATTGCTACTTGATATCCTCATGGGCAACGGCTTACTCTTCATTTGCTTAAATTCCGAAATTCGATTTAAATTCTCTAACAACATTGATTTGTGGGAGTTCATTGCAAAATCCAAAATAGTTGTTAAAAGCCAAAAGCATGCTTTTTCCATATGGGAAGAATCTAAGCAATTTGAGTCCCCATAGACAGCAATGCGACCTTCTGCGAACCTCTCACTCTTCTCATTCAATAAAATTCGATTCTTTAATATTGCATGGTCAAACGGTATATCAGAAAGTTTAGGGTTATCGTCAACCACTGGAAGGTTCCTTAGATATTTAATATTTTCAGGTTGTCGGGATTTGAGATTAGTTTGAAATAATCCCATTATGGGTACAAATTGTTTGACGTCCATATTTTGTGATTTTCCATTTGTAATAACCTTAAAAATACAAAGGATATTAATAAAAATGTAATGTTATTAAATAACAACTATTTACCGATTCTCCTTGATCGTTTAGGTTTGTCCCAATAACCACATCGTCCTGATTATTTGGAAATGTCACAAGGGTTGTACCGCTTGCGTAATACATTGAATGGTCTCCTAATTTAAAGTGTCCCTCGCCAACAAAGTCGCCCAAGGATATATTAAATGGTTTCAAAAGATCGTTTAAGGCTGGGATATTAGCCCCACCAGTATCAGGTATCCACCATTGTCTGCTATTCTCATCGAAAAACTTAATGTGTCTCATGACTGTTGTATTATACCAATCCGCAAATATAATTACACTCAAGCCATTTTCGTAAACATAATGTTCTAGACTGGAAATCTCATCGTCAAAAAACTCTTCTTCGGGATCTACGATTAGCAATACCCCATATTCAAGTGGGTTGAAGCAGGTATATGGTTCCCTTAGAACATCAATATAATATCCAGAGTTCCTTAAATGTATATACGTATCTCGAAAATTGGTATGAATGTGGTCTGCCCTCCAATCGAGTGGATCAGTTTTAATCTTCAAATTGTCTCTTGGTATATAGCCTGGTGGATATCTTAAGCTATGAAATTGGTCCCATAAAATTCTTTTATGTCGTGGCGGCTTTGGTGTAATTTTTATTGTAAGAGGCAAATCTACTTCACTTTGTTGAGATTTATTTGTGCCAATTGGCACACATTCAATCAATAATATTAGGCGTCCCTTAGCAATGCCTTCATAGTTTTGTGCTTCCTTATTAACAGCTGTAATAAAAAGTTAAACATTTGTTTTTGTTATTATTTTTTATATTTATTTAAATGACTTAGGATATAATATCACATGTGAATACAAAATTCTCTACAGGGCAACTTGTTGAAAAAATTGGACTCGGAAAAAGAACAACAAACTATTTCGACTCCGAAAAGATTGATCGGGTTAACGTCCACAACCAGTTGTACCACGAAACTCCCCGGAGGAACTCAACAAAAAACTAGGACGGAACATAACATCAAAAGAAATCTCCAACAAAAACCAATATAAAATAACATCAACATCGGACAACTATATTTTGTACCATCTATGGCAGATTTTAGATATTTGTGTGGAAGAATATTCAATCTTCGGCAACCCGAAGAGAATTTTACTTTCATATTTATATAATCTTCGGCAACCCGAAGAGAACTGTCCTTTCATGTTTATGTACTTATTTTTTTAAATCTTAAGAGGCTTGCGACTGAGATAACATAAAAAGATAAATGATAAACAACCTCTCATAAATATTAATTAGCCTTTGTATATAAATAAAAGATAAAGAAAGTTGGTGGTATGCTATACCCTTACCAATGTAGACTGACATCCACCCGGTCCATGGCCAAATCGTACTTGAAAATGATGTTGAAATGTTGAGGAAGCGCCCGAAATTGTCTGGATCTGGAATCCATTTTGGTTGGCCAAGAACTTTTCCAGTCACAGATATCCCATTAAGAATTGTAACATTAACAATTGCGGCCGTACTGCCATAAAATAAGGGCTGACTACTATATGGCCACATGTAGTTCGATGTAAAGTCAAGCGAAGACGGAATTAAACTAATTTTGGGCTTGTACGATAAGAGCAGCTGCATACTTTTCAACAAATTAAGTTTTCCTTGTCCCTGCTCGAAAATGTTATAATTTGGCAGCCTTTCAGCTCCTTCGACGAGAACTTGTTTTAAGGATGATGGATTAACTAAATCTATTTTATGCGAAGCTCCGCTTCTAAGTAAAGCTGCTACTCCTGCAACAACTGGTGATGAGACTGAGGTTCCCGATAGCCGTCTGCATCCCATACGTACGTCACTTCCCTCAACCTGGCTACCATATGTGACAATGTCCAATCCTATTCTTCCATAGCCTAATGGAAGTTCCCAGGTTGTCATACCTCTAGAGCTAAATCTGGCAATTTTATTATCAAAATTGATGCTACCTACGCCGATTACATCGCTTTGGTCACCCGGATTATTAAGAGTTCCGTAAATGGGACCATCGTTGCCTGCTGCCGATACCATTATTATATTATTTGCTGATAGTTCTAAAACCTTATCGACGAACGGCAAATCCATAAAATCCGGGCCGCCAATACTTAAATTGATAATATTTAC